GTATGGGGGACTTGAATTCTGCTTGGGTGGAGAATGAGCCCTGGAGGCCGCCATCCATCATGGGATGTGAGTTGACACAAGTTTCCAGGGGAAGGAGCCAGACTCTGAGGATGGAGTCAGGGTTCAGGGCCAGAGGCAGTGGGGACAGAGCACAGCTCTGAGCCATGTCTAGGGGAAGGCTGTTGGAGGCACAAAGGTGGCCCATGTTCTCAGAGCTGTGTTCTCCTGACAGCAACTGTCTGGGAAAGCACGTGGACTTTCGTGTGTGCGTTCAGCATCGCTGTGCCAGGTGGATGTGTAGTGCTAGAAGATTCCCCCTGCACACACAACTCCCAGGACCCCGGGCGCTTAGTACAGGCATGCTCTGAGACACGACTCCTGTTTTTTATTTATTTTTAGAGGTAGCTTGAAAGGGGAAAGGGTGGTTGCTTAGATTCCTGGGATCCTAGGTGAGTCGCTGACTGTTTACAACCAGAAAGTAGTTCAGGGGTTGAAGGAAAACAGTGACACGCCCAGCAGGTTTCTGTAAGTGCTCAAGTGCTCAGCGTTGTAAGTCTGGGTGCTTGGCCTGCCCAGGAGCACCAGTAGCCAACGTGTTCGGGGGGGGGCCGGCATATCTAGAGGAGGGACTCAGTGTAGCACCCTTGAATCTGAAGATGTGACATCCTATAGATGCCCTACCCCCCACCCTCCAGGTATAGCACAGTGGAGAGGCCGCTTGCCTTGCACTTGGTTGACCTGGGTTTGATTTCCGCACTCCCTAGGGTCCCCCAAGCATCAGCGGATGTGACCTGAAAAACAAAGAGTCAAGAGGCCCATGCACAGGGCAGCCTTCTGGCAGGAAGTGGTGGCTAGTGTCTCACCAAGCAGGACACTGGGTCTGGGACAGTGCCTGCCAGGGGCTCAAGGAAGGACACCCCTGGGTGCCTTTTCACCCAGTCACCTCTGTCCCCTCAAGGCTTCTCTGCACCCAGGGCCACATCCAGGCCCTGCCTACGAGTGGAGCTGACCGAGCGGGGAAGCACGGGGGGTGTCAGGTTTTTCTTCCCCCCAACTTCCCTCAACTACTGGAGTGCTGGGGTTCAGACTTGCCTTCTAGCATCTCACAGAACACTCAAGCACAGAAGTGTCCAAGGCGATGTGGCCCACTGCCCTCTCTAGAAAAGAATTCTGGCCCTCCCCAGAAGCCTGTCTTATGCAAGCAGAAAGCATCACCAACTGCACCCGAGGCATCAGTCCAGAGTCCAGGAAGGGCTGGGATCCCCTCCCCACTCCCCCCGGGCAGCAGCCCTGCAGCTGGCTCTGAGTCCCAGTGAAATGTCACCAGGGCATTCAGCCCTGCCGAGGCCTTGGCAGGAGTCTGGAGGGAGTTGATGAGAACTTAAATTTCATATCAAACCATTTGACTTCAGGGGCAGAGCAAGGAAATACCTGAAGGTGTCTGATTTTGCAGCTGCCTGAAACCTCACAGTGGGGTCGGGAAGCGTGGCTGGGATTTGCTTTTCCTGCTGTGTCTGTTTTCGGGTCTGTAAATGCCAGGGCGAGACAGCCCTGCACTCAGTGGAGTTCTTGGAGTCTCGTTCTGTTAAACAAAGCCGTGCATTAAGGTTCCCTGGAGAGACTCGGCAAGTCCCTGTGCAGTGGGAGTGAGCTGGAGTTGCTGCCAGGGCCGAGCCCACAGCACTTTTCCAGGTCACGGGAAATAGGACAAACAGAGCAGTAAGGTGTGGTGGGCAATAACCTGAGAGCTGGCCTGCAGGGAGACCTCTGGAGGGTCATCTGAATGACTTACCACCATGCCCTGGGGTTGCCCCAAGGTGCGGGTGCTGGCGCCTCTGAGCCTTCTGCACCAGTGAGCTGGGAGGCTGTTGGCGGAAGAAAGGAAGAAGCAGAACCTGCCTGTCAGGCTGCGGGCAGTGGTCTTTTCATGGACGCGGGTTCTGGCACCCAGTGAGTGCCCACTGTGCCTCGCCGTGACCAACGTCACATGTACACCCTGCTGTCGCCCCAGCTCAGCCAGAAGGAAGGCCAGCGCTCACAGACCTCACTTTACTCGTCACCCATGACCCTCCTGACATCACACATGCATACACTCGACAGTGCTGCACTCAAGCAAAGGGGCGGAATGAGCCAGAATGTGCAAGAGTTGGCCTAACTTTCAGAACTGCTCAAGTGTGTGTTTAGAGGGAGCACGCGCAAACAGTGATCAGGGGAGCCAGGCGCTTCTCCCAGACAGGAAGGTTCGATGCCAGGGCCTAGTGGTGCTGGGGCCAGGGGCACATACAGTACCGGGGGGGGGGGGGTTGGAGGGGGTTAAAGTCTGCTTCCTGCACATATGAGACTCCTGCACCTGCACTCAGCTGTTTCCTCAGCCCAGCATCTGCTTTTCTCATAGCTGCAGAGGGACTGCAGGTTTGGCTCTTACTGTGAAACCCAAAGCAAAGCACATCTCCCCTTCTCTTTGACCTATGGACACAACCACGCTGCTAAGTCATTGGATGTTGTTCAAACCGAGGACCAGAGTAAGCTATGCCAAGGAGACAGGTGGTTTTGCCGTGTTACTGGATTCACCTGCCATTACTGGACACGCCTGTTTCAGAAGCTGTGGGCACTGAATCTGTCCCCTGGGCGTGGGTCGTCAGGCCCATCTGGAATTCGGAGCCCAAGTTTGCTTGGGAAGCCAGTGAGGGCAAGGTCTGTGGTTCCTTTCACACTGATGGTCTTATTCTTAACCACCAGGGTTTGTCAGAGTTCCTCCCTGGAGCCACTGCGGTTTAGAAATAATTTATTCTGACACACACTGCACTGATAGTTTTATTAAGGGCCTGTATGTGGAAGGTACTGGCGCAAGTACTGGTTTTACAATACTGAACTTTATATATACAAACCCTCGTGGAGCATAAAATATAGGATAGACCTGGATAATCCAAATAGCTGTATGATACTTTAGGTTGAACTATATAAAGTGGTTTATTATTGATAAAATCTGGTCTTTTTGCACTTACCAAAAAAAAGTATTTAATTTTTATTTCTACTTTCAGGGGCTTTACTCCCCCGAGAGAGATGGTGCTGAGGGCTTACTCCTGACTGATCACAGGAATCTCTCCTGGCAGGGCTTGGCGAGACCACATGTGGTGCTGGGGAATGAACCCAGGTCATCCATGTGTAAGACAAGCACCCTCCCTACCCCTGTACTATCCCTCCAGCCCTTCTTTTGCATTTTGCAGTTCTTCACTGAATTATCATTGGCTTATACAATTAGAGGATTTCCGGTCACATCTCTTATGTAACCATTAACACTCCCACCGTCACAGTGACCCCAGTGCAGTTTACATGGAACTGGAGGATGAAGTGGTGCCCTTTGAAAGGCAGCTACATGTCAGAGGCACCTCGTGGTGCCTCCCAGGGCAGTGACTGGGACCCACGGGTTTCATGGGGATTCCCTCTACCCTCTAGTAGTCAGAGAAATACTAAAGACTCCACTCAATAACGTCAGAATCCATTACTCATCTCAATGAGTACAAATGCTCAGATGCAGAAGATGAAAAACAGTTTACATTTTCTGAGGCTACTTGTATGGAATTTGCTTAATCACACTGAGACAATCTAGGTGAAAAGGCAAAGACATTTCATTACTGTCTAAGTGGATTGCAACGAGGCTGTCACCTGAAACTGCGGCCAGAGGCCAGAGAGCCTGAGGTAGGAAGATTCCTGGCATTGACTGTATCACACATATGGGACAAAGTGAAAAGCAAAAGACTGGGGGTTCTCCATTGGCTGCTTCAGCAGGGTATTTGGAGAGCCATAACAAGGGACTTGCGGCAGAGAGGAGGAGAGGGAGGGGGGAAAGGGGCTTGTTACTAGGAATCTTTGTGGATACACTCTATTACTAAGGATATTGTCTCTGTGACCCTATACTCCCTCTCCCTTTCTTGGCAGCCAGATCGGCCTGGCTCTTCTGTCTTCTAACCATAACATGATTTATGACCTGTTTATCTATGCTGGGTTTCCAGGCTGCTCAGAGGACTGGCCTTTGGCTCCCTCGCTGGCTACCTGTGCTTAGTTCTAAGCTTAACAATCCAAGATAAGCAAAGTGAAAACTCTAATTTAGCCCTTACATATCATATGAGACCCATTGTAATTACTGGTGCACCATGAGGTGCCTCTGACATGTAGTTTTGCCTGACCGATGTCGCTGTTGTCCCAAAATTCCAAACGGGATCGGACCACTGTCTCCTTCGTGCAAAATTCTACTTCACAGAGCCAGGAGAAAGGGCTGCAAAGTTTAAGAAGAGAACTCCCAGAATGACCACCAACTGGGAATTCTTTGGCACTATTGCTGCAACATGGGAAGATGCTGGCATTGACAACATTGAGAGACCCTGGGTTGCCTGTTATTTGGTTTCAAGCTTCTGTATAAGCCTGGCTGCAGGCAGAGGGAGGCAAGATCCCACACCTGAGACTGTATCTGGAAGAGGGATGCTCTTTCTCTAGCAGTGCTCAGGAATAAAACTTTATGATTCAGCCCTTTGACTTATCTCCCTGACCCCCATTTTCATTTTTATAGCCACGAGGCCCAACTAAAGTGTGTGCACTGCCCCACGCCATCCTTCCACTCGGGCCTTGCCTTGGTATGGGCCTTGACTTGGTACATCAGGGGCAGTCTAGTGGCAGCAGTTGTTCAGGGCCCCCAGCACAAAGGCAGTTCCAGCTGGGTATGTTCTTAAAACAACACCTGCCTCGGTTTGTTGGCCTGTGGGCCTTAGTTTGCCAACTCATTCCACAGACCAGATAAGCAGTAGGAAGCTCTTGGGCAAGAGTAACTAGTTCATTTGCTTTTCTAGAAGAGTTATTGGTGGGGTCGCAGCCCAGCATGTCCAAACTAGGACACGCTGAGTTTTTCCTAACTCAGCGCTGGCGTTTATGCAGGAGCTGCCGGAAATATTGTCTTAACACTTGCTCCTTCCATGGTTCTCACCTGTTGTCTCTCTGCCCCACAGGCCTGTTCCTCATCCTCGGCCTGATCCTCTACCCCGCTGGCTGGGGCTGCCAGAAGGCCGTGAGCTACTGTGGACACTATGCTTCAGCCTACAAGCCTGGAGACTGCTCCCTGGGCTGGGCCTTTTACACCGCCATCGGGGGCACGGTCCTCACCTTCATCTGTGCTGTCTTCTCTGCCCAAGCAGAAATCGCCACTTCTAGTGACAAAGTCCAGGAAGAGATCGAAGAGGGGAAAAACCTGATCTGCCTCCTTTAGTTGGGAAGAGAGGGCCGCACCTTTGACTTCCTCGTGTAACCTTGTGAATCAGTCCATCCCTGGTTTCTTCGTTTGTGTCAAGTGGAAAATTATTCTTGTCCCTACCAAAGCCACAGGACACAGCCCTGAGCCTTAACAGGACCATTGAGAGGCAACACGTCCAGCAGGGCCACAGTGCAAAGGATGGAAGCTGGAAGAGGACATTAAACTCTGCCACATGCTCAGCGCCAGCAATGATGAAGGAGGAGAATTCCAGCTGCGAAAACTGCAGCTTTTCTGCATACAGGCCCCTATGAGCCAGGCCAGCAGGAAGGACTTCTGATACATGCTCATGTGCTCGTGAGTCCCAAGTGCTTGTGAATCGCAATCTCTCCCACCGAGACGACACAAGGCCTCCTGCTTCACTGACCAAAGGGGTTCGCAGGGATACTGGGGGCAAACTTCATGGCTGGACCCATTGGATCAGTCCCTCAAGGTGTATCAGCAGATGGTCATCCCAGAATTGTGAAATTTGAGTCGAGAAAGACCTGTCAGATGAGAGTCCAAGCACAGAATCCTGCTGGGGAAGGGAAAGTCCTTCAACGTACCAGCAGCCACACTCACCTGGCTCCTTCCCCTGGGGGTGCTTTTCTTCTTCTGGACACGGCTCTAGGCCAGGTGTGACTCATCCAGATGTTCGCTGGGAGAATTTTTCCCATTGTTTGATTATATAAGTCAGCAGTATTCCCCACCCCCTTCAGAAACAGAATGGTATTCTTTGCAGGAAAAACAAGTGAGTCTTGGGCCTTGCAATTTTCTTGTTACTGCTGCTGATCCTTGAAAGCAGGCTCAGATAACAGTGAGTTGCTGCAACAAGAGTTGAGTTGCTTTAGAAGCTTCATGCCCAGGAAGGCACAGTAGAATATGGGAAAACAGGCTAGACCAAGCCTGTAGCACCTGTCAACACCTGTTTACAAAAGGAACTGAACACCACTATTAAAAATTCAACAGCTTTTAATCCAGTTTCCATAAATTACCAATATTATTGATTTAGCCATCACCTCAGATTTACTTTTGAGTGATCAAAGTGGCTAGAAAGATGCTAGTCTGAAAGGCCAGCTTAGTAGCACAGTGGGTAGGGTGTTTGCCTTGCACATGGCCAACCAGGTTAGACCCTCAGCAACCCAGGAGGCCCCTCTTCCTCAAAAGCCAATATGAGCTTTCAGAATTCCAGATGATAGAGAAACAAACACTCCTTAGAAACTCAGTTCCGAAAGCACTAAAGCTATGTAGATTACCAGCAACTATACTCTGCACTTTCTTCTAGCTTTGTCCGTCTGAGTCATCTTAAAGCTGTACTAGTAAAAAACTGCCTAAGAGCAAAGCAAGTGCTAGTGAGAGAGAGGCGGAATGAACTGTAACTGGCCTACTTATTAGTTTACCATTCTTGGACCGAATTCAGAATATGCCATGGTAAATCCTGTGACTATTTTGGGGGAAGGGAAAAGGGATAAGAAGGTTTCCTCCAAGCATGTGCTAAAGGCCCAGGAGAAACAGGCCTCTAGCTAGAGGCCTCTCTCTCTCTGACAGACAGAACAGGTTCAACAGCCACCGGCTGGGCGCCTGCTCCTGACTATGTATTAATCTGAACAAGTAATTCTCCTGTCAATCATTTAAAACAGAAATAATTATCGGGAGATTTTTTTTTTAAAGAACCCATCTTCTGACACTTATTTTACAGTCTCGCTCTTACAAATAAGTCTTAGACCCAGAGGCTGCTCTGGGCACGTCTTTCTCAACTCGCTGCTCTCTGGTTGAGGTGCTGGCGTAGATACACAGACCATCCCACAAGTGAAAAACATGACCTCTCATGGCCAGAATTCACTTATACCTTTACTTTTTCTTTGCATGTTACAAAGTATAAAAAGCACATGCAGTGGTTTCTAGAAGGAAAAAAACAGCACATAAATACAAAACCACAGACCACTGAAAACCTAAACACTGAATTAGCAGAGAAGAAATGGAATTTCTCTAGCAAAGACAGGATAAAAATGTCATCTCAGGCCTTTTACACCTTCAGCTCAACAGCCAGGCTTTGGTTGGGATGATTGGAACAGCCCAAATCATGCTATTCCAGACCTAAACTACAAACTATTTGAAAACCACTGAACGTGAGAAATATGTTCAAAACAATTAGACAATTGTTGTCCTACACAGAATCACCTCAGTCTAAAAATCCAAGATAGCTGGATCATCACTTCTACCAGAAAAGTCTTATTTATTTTTATTTGTTTGTGCTTATAGTTTCACGATGGGCGGGTTGCCTCAATAAACTTTAAGGTGGCAGAAATAGTTGCCTTGGATTCTGTGGATTCTTTAAACCTGTGTGCTAAATCAACAATTTAATTGTGTAAGGGTTTCTGTATAGTTTCCAAACATCTGTGGTGTAATGATCTTTTTAAAACATGTATTCTGTAAAGTGCCATAGTCTTTTTTTTTAATGTGTAGCATATTTTAAAAATATCTATATATATTCTACATACACAAGTCTGTGTGAAGGATGTGCAATAACAAAGGTGTATGTTTTGTGTTTTGGAAACTGGACAGGGGTCAGAACAGGATGCTTCTGTTTTGGCAAAGGAGAGTTAGTTTTGCCTTCATGGCCTGGTCATTAACCCATAACAAGTTTAATGCTACAAAACGATGTGAAGAAAAGACTGGTATGAAATTAATTCCTCCGCTAATCCCCCCCCCCATCTAAATTAAAATCATCATTAGGTTTATGTGAAAGCTGATGCCAGCAAGCCAGGCCCAGCTAATGCTAGTCTTTCTTGTAAAATGTGAAGCTGCCACGTTGCCTTTTCTGTTAGTGTGTTGACTTGTAGTTGGTACATAATCACTAAGGAGCTGTTTCTTAACATGTCTCGATAGACCATGTTAATGCTAGACCACTACTTCAGGGCTTTCTCCCACCTTCTTAGCCTTTCGAGTCTGACTCAGAACAGACCACTTTGTGCAATAACATGTGGCCACTGGAAATCCCTGGCCTGCGTTTGTTCTTGGGCAGTGATGACTCCCAGGGACCAAAAAGATTAAAGGCCCCACTGGGATTTCTTCCAAGACTGTGGTGGAACCTCCAAGGTGTGGGGAGGGAGATGTCATCAGGTGCTTTGGAGAAACTCGGCACCACTTAATATTCAACAGCCACTTGAGCCAAATATGAAATTGTATTTACTCATGATGGACTCAACTTGAGCCTTCAATTTTGTGGTTATCCTATTGTATTGTAAACTAATACATTGTCTAGCATTGATTAGGTTTCTGTGCATATGTATTTTCATGACATGCTCCCCTCCCCAGATATGAATTAAAACCAGATTTTGCAAACTGATTAAGTCTGAGTATGTTGATTTCAGTACTTTGTGTATAATTTGATCAAGAAAATAGCCACCAATCTTACCTTTGTATGTATATTTGTATGTACTGACAAGAGGAAAGAATATATTCAGCACTTTAAGCTATTTTATTTAATAATAGCATACATATACCTTAGCCTAAGTTTGCTTTCACCTCAGAAAAGGTTATAGTACACCCTTGGAGATGCATCAACATAATTACAGATAGGAAAGAAACCTCCAATACTAAAAACAAATGAACATTTTAAAGCTGTGAAATACAAAAATACTTGAAACAAAGTAAAAAAATACATATGCTGACAAAATTCATCTGAGACACCATAAAAGTGTCAATCACAGGTAGTAGTTTCACCTCAGATTTCTTGACAGTGCATATCACTCCTAGCATAAACTACCTTTTTTAAACATACCTGACAACTACCAGGTTACTGTCAGAAACCATAGGAAACACTAACTATACTTAAATCTTTCTCTCACACACATTTCCAAGCCGCAGTCTGAAAAATTCTAACCAACTTGTAGTAATAACTGAAAAAGCAACTGAAATCATTCTTCCTTTAACCTTTCTCGAAAGCAAATCCACCACAGAAAGGAGCCTGCCTTTTCAAACGTGAGCAGAGGCCAAAGCATTGACGTGTGCTTCCCATTTCATCCTAGGTTTTATTTAGCAATTTTCTACCAAGACATTTTCTATGACTGGTCTTCCAGGAACACATGGCATTCCACTTGCTCCTAGCTTTCCTTAAAGTCAGCTTAGCACAAAACCAGCGGATTCTCTTGGACATTTCCTTTCTGTGGCTAATTTCAACTATGTCTAGTAATTGAGCACCTTTCTCAATTCTCAAGCACTAAAGAATAAGGGCATCACAGCAAACTTCTAGCCTAGTCTTCAAAGCAGAAAGCACCAGAAGGCATCTATTTTAGTGCCCCTATCAGCTTAGTTATTTGGGGGTCCATCCCACTGCTGCCCTATCTTCTTCCTTGCAGTTTCCTCCTTAACACTGAAGAGTTCTACAAGCCAAGTCTTCAAGAAATGAACTACCCATTTTGCATAGGTATAGAGGATATAGATAAAAGCATAAATACAAAAAGGAAGTAGTAAAACCACATGGGAGGGGAAAATTAATCAAATAACATGTAGATATTAGCAGTTCTTATGCATTTTATAGCCAAACATTCTGGGGGGAAAAAAATCTACCGATAGGCAAAGAGGCCTCACCAAGTGCTTATATTTGAGGAAACCAATATAATCTTATTAATAAAAGAACAAAAGCCTGAATCAGGCAATGAAAGCAAAAACAACAGAATGAATCAGAGAGATGCTAGAAAGAATGGATAGCTGGTGGCTGAAAAAAAGTGGCAAGTGGGAGAGAAAATCATCCAGAAGGCTAGCAAGGTATATAGTTTGGACTGTGGGTGTAAAATTATATTTGATCAGGGTTCTAAAAGGGAGTATGGTGAAAGTTAAGACACCAATGGAGAAATCCTGTGTGCAGTGAGAACTTAATATGGAGAGATGGGAAAGGTGGACAAAACACATGGGCAGACACTGATTTTCATTATTGTGCCTTTCCATGAGCAAGCACTGTTAAATATTTCACAGAATTCATTTGTTCTTCAAAACCCTGTGAATAAAAGTGATTATCATTTTCCTTGGAGAGGGTGAGGGTACTGGGACTACACCTAGCAGTGCTCAGGGTTTACTATTGGTTCTATGCTCAGGGATCACTTCTGGCTGTGCTCAGGGACCCTATGTGGTACTGGGGATAGAACCCAGTTTGGCCACATACAACACAAGTACCTCTCGCACTGTAGGATCTCTCTAACCCAATTATCCTCATTTTATAGGTAAGTTAAACTTGTTACTTGACTGACATTAAGTAATTTTTATTTCTTTTATTTTGGGTCACACCCTGCGATGCTCAGAGGTTACTCCTGGCTTTGCACTCAGGAAATTACTCCTGGCGGTGCTTGGGGGACCATATGGAATGCCAGGGATCAAACGTGGGTCGGCCGCATGCAAAGCAAATGCCGTACCTGCTGTACTATCACTCTGGCCCTGACATTAAGTAATTTAACCCATGTTGAAAAACTAGAATCAAAGTCTGCCCTAATGTACTTTTTTTTGGGAGGGAGGGGGGTCACACTTGGTGATGCTCAGAGCTAACTCTTGGATCTGCACTCA